GGGAGGAGGCCCCGGGGAAGACCCAGGACACGCTGGAGGGACTATGTCTCTCGGCTGGCCTGGGAATGCCTCGGCATTTCCCCGGAGGAGCTGGAGGAAGTGTCTGGAGAGAGGGAAGTCTGGGAATCTTTGCTTAGACTTCTGCCCCCGCGACCCGGTCCCAGATAAGCGGAGGAAAATGGATGGATGGATGGATGTTATGCAACAGGTCACATCATGCATTGCATTAACTTTGTTTGTAGAACTTGTAGAGTTTAAGGTTCTAGGAATATCTACTCTTTAACTCATGCTTTAGATTTAGTTTGTCTCACAGTGCTTTTGCCCTTTCACCTGTCACTCTGGCTTTTTGCACCCACCCCTCTCATACGCAGCAAATGAAAATGGCGGAAATTGGCAGTAAGTCAATTTAAGAGTCCGAGCTGACCTTCTCAAAGAGACAGAAGAGACACATTTAACCTGTTCTAGTACATGTAATTAAACAGAGAATATGTCTTACTGTGTTTTATGCAGTCTTTGTTCTGAACCCTCTTTTGTTGCATAAGAAAAGGTACTAGAATTATCAGTGTTTTTGTCCAGAAAGGAAGCCTGCCGGCCTTCATGCTGTTTATCCCTGCACAGTCAAAAATGGCGTGGAAATGCATGGAGAAGTCTTTTCCCTTGCAACAGATCATGCTTTTATTCAGGTATAAACATAGCACCATCAGGTTTGATGTACATCATTCTGTCTCTTGAGCATTTTTTAGCTTCTTACACAAACACATGTTGCACTTCTAGAAATTTCTCAGCTTGATCAGTCTTTTCTGCATGTCCGCTACTCTCCCTGGCTGTGTGTGATTAGGGGAAGGGGGGAGGGGGTCTGTTGCTGTCGCCCTAAAGGCTCCTTGCTAAACACTGTTATAGTCTGTTCATTTGACTCAACAAAGACAGATACTCACAGTAGCTGCAAGAGAGTGAAGCTGTAGAAGTAAAAGATGCAACAGCAAAAGACCAAGTCTTGGGAGAAAAAGGATCCTTAGGCCTACTTTCCTGTTTTGTCTCTGCTCCTATCGCCACACAGCACTAAGCAAGAACCAACTGGTGGGTGGGCGAGAGAGCCTGGATGGGAGGAGGAGAGAGAGAGGGGGAGGGAGACCAAACCAGTGCAAGTACACAATCCAGCAAAGCATGTGACCAGACTGGCGGAGTTAAAAAGAGAGAGTGGGTTGAGTTTAACTTGCAGCACAAAGACGACACCAATATGGCTGATTTTGTCTTTCCCTCTCATTCACCAGTCTCATCACTCTCTATTTGGGAGCTTTTGTGCAGACGGAGAATAGAACATGGGGTCTCTTTAGTGAGGTTACATTGGGACACAGAAGGGAATATATTTAACAGCAGGCAGGAGAGGGAAGGTGAGACAGGATTGTGGAAATAAGAGAGTAAAGTGGGACACACCACTGAGGGAGAAGTTCCCACATTTTACCCAAACTAAGGCCTCCACATGCAGGTTGGCAAAAGGCCATGAGCCCAGGAGCTAAAGCATGTGGGTGTGACCAGGCAGTAAACAGACCCAGCAGAGACAAGAGGTTGCAAGGATCTCATAAGGACTGGCTTGTTCAGAGTAACAATACAGTGGCTGTGAGAGCTCCCCAGAGCACTGCAACCCGTGTTCATGTAGGATTGAAATGTGCAATAAACCTACAGACATTTCATAGCACAGTTATGTGGAAAAAAACTTTCTGACACTCTTAATTGAAAAAAAACAAAAACAAACTCTGCACCTCCATCTTTGTCTGGTTTGGCTCAGCAACCAAACAGGACAGGAACAGACTTCAGCGGAACTGCAGAAAAGGTCACTGGTGTAAGCCTGCCCTCTATGGAGGACTTGTACACCTCACGGGTCAAAAGGAGGGCGGAGAGTGTCACTGCTGACCCCTCACATCTGGGACACAACCTGTTTGAACTCCTCCCCTCTGGACAGCCTTACAGGTCACTGTGCACAAAGACAACCAGGCACAGGGACAGTTTCTTCCCCCAGGCTGTCACTCTGATGAGCACTTAACCAACAACATTATGACTGGACAATAACCCTCAGTGCAATACCTGTAAATATACCTCGTATAGATTATACAGATTCGTACAGGTTTCTAGTTTTAAGCACTCTATTTTTATTCTTATTTATCTCATTTCACAATGAGCATTCCTTGTCTGTCTGCATTGTTTACTACCTGTTTATACTGCTTATTTTGCATTGTTTGGACTGTCTGTTACTTGTTAATACTGCTTACTTTGTTATATTACACAGCCTTATGCTTGTTTTACTGTTTACTTGCCCCTTGCATGGGGATATGTTCATACACATTGAGAGCCGATGTACCAGGGTCAGATTCCTCTTGTGTCCGACACACCTGGCCAATAAAGAAGACTGATTCTTTATAATGTTTTAATAAGTTTATTAGAACAGATGTGAGATTATATTTTCCCCTGAAATGCCTTCTTGTATTCATCTTACACAGTTTGACATAGAGGGGAATGAAGCCAACACCTGTGGAGTGGAACAAAGCAGTGAGTCAAGTGCCTTCGTGTGTTTGTTCAACATTAATATTGTGTTATATAATCCTAAGAATTTGTGCTGTAAGCCTGCCTGGGTTCACAGTCTGCGTATTCCCCCCACCAGCTCAGGCCAATGTACACTCAGAGTGACATTGTCATTTGGCAGGAATGTAAAAGTGCTCATATGTTATTATCCCATTTATAATTTTGTATGCTTCATCTAAGCAGACAGGGTTCTTATTATTATTGTGCTGTAGTGTTTCTTAAACTCCAGGTGGTGAAAAGTTTGGACACATTTTCCCAATGAAGTGTCCAGACTTTTCACTGGTAGTGTAACTAAGCACAGTTCCTAAACTACTGTACTTAACTTTCACTACTATTTCCTTCTGATGCTGCTTTACACTTCAACTCAAGTGAAGTTCACAGGTGCAGGTCACCACATACTTAGGAATTCTTGCATGGGTCTCTCACCTGGTTTTTAAAAAGCACAGGATATAACACAACCACAAATACAGTAGTACTGAATAATACATAGAGGATGGCAAGTTGTATACAATAAAGCAGCTATTCTACAAGGAAGGTAACTCTGCTCTGGTGGGAAGACGGAACCTGTTGTTGACCACATATGAGGCAACATAACGAGACAAAAATGGTTTGTTACTATAAGATATTTTTTTTATTCTCCATACACTGCACAACAGACAAGGAGAGAAAGACATTGATTTTGCATTGAGAATAAGGTTGATGTACAGCTTAAGTACTTAAGTGGATGGTCAGGCATTGCACCAAATAATGACTTGGTATGGACATGTGGAAAGAGTCATTTAAAATGGCTAATTACTGAGATGTGGTGTGTGTGTGTGTGCGCGCACATGCCCAAGCTGAGGTAGTGGGTGGCAGGAGGGTAGGGGTCAGAGTCCAGAATCATTGCATCATAGGCCCTGAATGTCCTTAGCCAACAGCCTAATGGGTGCAGGAAAGAAACTGCCGGTGAACCTGTCTGTGCTGATGCTCTCTCGTCTGAGATTTCTCAGGTTGTAGCCCGAGTTCCTCCATCTGAAAAGAGTGTCTGGGATGTTGTGGATCCCTGAGGATGGCCCGTGCTTTGTTCCTACATTGATGTGTGTACAGGGTATCTATAGCGGGCAGAGGAGAGGCAGGGATCTCTGCAGTCTTAATGACACTCTGGAGGGCTTGCCTCGCACCGTGTAGTGTGGAAACACTACACGGTGATCCTTCTGGTCAGGATGCTCTCAATTAGTCCTCTGTAGACCTGGGAGAAGGGCTGCTGTCTGAGTTCTGCTTTTTTAAGTAGCCTTATAAAATACAGCTGCTGCTCAGCTTTCCACACATGGCACCCTGGAAACACCTTTCAGTATAATGTGACATAGTTCAACAGCAGCACAAACTACATCCTGTAAAATGATTAGGGCTGCACCCAACTAAGAGTTTTGTCAGTTGGCTCAGATCTGGCTGTTCAATGCAACTATTTGTTCTTATATACAGTGAGGAACAGAAGTATTTGAACACCCTGCGATTTTGCAAGTTCTCCCACTTGCCAGCTTGTACTGCTAAAAAATATATATTTATGATTCCTGTGATTTATAAATTCCTTATTGAAATGTTTTCTCAGTGCATTTTTGTTAGCTTCCTAGTCCCGTTCGAATGGATGCATGTTGCAGAAACAGAAGATAAACTGCTGTGCATTACATTTTAGGTAAACAAACCGGACGCACATATGCCAAACTAGCCACATTGTCATGACCGTTAGTCTTTTTTTTCCTTGTAAAAGTAGACTACAAAGTTTGAAAGCACTTAAAATATAAAGTGCAGATCTCACCTTCATGTGGCTTGTCCTAGTGGGTTTTGTTGTCCTTCTCTCCTTGTTTTGTAATTTGCTAAATAGATCTGACCTTATTGTATATCCATGCATCAGTGTCATTGATGGGGGTATTCCCCCAACCACAGGAGGGAAGCACTGAGCAAAATGCTGCCTGGCACACAACAATGAGAAGAGGATGACAAACTACCAGCTGCGGTTGCCTTTTATTGTAATGCACACTGGCTGACAAAAAAATAAAGTAAATTAAAAACAAAGGCTTGGCTACAAGGTCTCATTCGACTGACAAGTCTCTCGACTAATGGCTCGACTAGTCAACAGCCCTAGCTGCTTTAATTGCAAACACCACATTTGTCCACTAGATAGCAGCACTACTGAGGCAGTAGCAGCTAGAGAATTTCTTTGGCCTGAAGACATTTGAAAATGAAAACATGTCTCAAACAAACCAGTAACATCTTTGTCAGTTGAAATCATGTTCTAACACTTGTCCCAAGCATTTAGGTTGTGTATTTTAACACTAAATCACAGTAGAATTAGAGACAGGAACTTTTTCTATTTTACAAACAGTTGTTGACTAAAACATAACAGGGTCTTCTACAGTCTGTCTGGCACAGGGAATATGACTGCACACTGAAACTTGGTTCTGTTGATTTAATGGTTAACACAGGTGTGTCAGAGAATGCTCTGACTTCTTGTGATACATGTTGTCTGTTAATATCATTACCTAGCCACATGCCACCCAACCAGTTGGGATGCAGTTTTTATTTCTGGAAAAACCTCTAAAGCAAATGAACATGATTTACATGTAGCAGATTTTCCAGAAATACATCCAGAGTAACCTCATAGATGGTTAAATGGTGAAATGTCAGGCTTGATGAAGTGCATTTATTTCCCCCGTCAGAAACAAACGAGGCCTCTCCCTCATCTACATATAGCGAAGACATTGTGTCTGTCAAACAAGGCAGCAGCTGGCAGTACAACACAAACACAGTAGGCCACGCGTCCTTGATTCATTTATAAAAATTAGGGGTGGATTGTGACAATGAAATTAACCCCAAATCCATCCCCTCTCCCCTCCCCACACACGTTTTCCTTTGTCCTCTGCAGGGTTTCACCCCACTGTGACCCCCAGCCACCCTCTCCTGTCCCATTAGAATTGGAGATGCTTGTACGTCTCTCTTGGTGAAACATTAGCCATCCGTCATCTCTCCCCCCTCCCTTTTGTTCAACATTCATCAGTCATTGCTTTTTTATAACAATAAAGCAGAAATGAGAATTGAAGAGAGGGACTCAGCTTGGAGTGGCAGCCTGGAGTCAGTCTGGGATGTTAAACACGCACATGCCACAATATGCGTTCCTAAAATGGCCCTAACAAACGTTTCCCCTCTGATATCCCAACAAAAGGCATGTTTTGCCACTGTTCGCTGACAGTGACAGTGATGCCTTTCGGTATTGATGGCAGGCGAGAGAGAAGTGTCGGTGAGAGTACTCTATTTTTCATCATCTCAGTTTGTCGAGTTGAATGCTTTGTCACATCATTTCACTGAATTAACTTTAGTTTACCCTGCAGGAAAATGATTCTGATGGGACTTGTGTTTTGTGATCCACTGTGCCAGTTTGTTTGTTTTTTTCTCTGAAATTCCTCTTTCATCTCTACAGTGCTACAGCTTACTCAGCTGAGGGACAGAGACTGAAGGAGCCAGGGCTGTCTGCTCGTCAGTCACAAGGCTGCATCTGCAACAAACCCCTATTTCCTCTAACATGGTGAATGTAGGTCACAGAAAGCAGAACCCTAGTGTGACGGTGTGTGGCCTCAGATCATTCTGCCACTGCTTGGCCTTGTGCTCTCTCTGTGCAACAGCCACAGAATTTTGCTTGGCTCTCAGTTGCTGCCTAACCTCAGCATGTCCAGGCCTGTTGTGTTTGGTCCTGTCCTTCCTGTACAACTTGTCTGGACCTCAACAGAATATGATTGTGTGTCTTCATGTGAGTTTGCATGATTATCTGTCTTCTCTGCTTCCACCCTCGAGGCATTGTGCATAACTGGGTCATACTCCCATCACTGCTGTGCTGATGTTGTTGCTCCTCTCCTACCTCTCCCCAGTCACTCCTGTCATATTCTGCTGTGCTGCTTTGTGGTGCATTGGTGGGCCTGCTGCCCTCACCTCCTTATTGGCATCCCCTCAAAGCAAATACTGCTGCATGACTAAGGGACTGGGAAGTGGCCATGATGGAGCGCTCTCTCTGCATGCATAATCCAGAACAGTAGCTGAACATACAGCCTGCATTTCAGGATCTGACATTTACTGCAGTACTTGTGGAATACTCATTTTTAGAATGTTTATTTCTACACACAGTACCATCCTTGCATTCATCTGTTTCCCACTGTTTAATTGGGTTGGGGTTGCAGTAATCCCTGCAACATTCTGGATGTTGGACAGCCCCAGAATACCTACACAGGAAGGCACCCGGGTGGCATCCTAATCTGCCTGAACTGCCTGTGTGTGCAGAGAGTGTTGTTCGACCAGTGGACTGTATGCTAATTCACCACAGACAGCTAGCATAACCGCTCTACAGACATTAGCTGTAAACTAGCAATGGACACAGCATCTGTGGGAACTCACCAGTACGTCCAAGTTATTTCCCTTCAGTTTTTCTCCATTTTCTCTATCTCTGTATGTTTAGGAAGAAGAGTCAAAAAGCCCCTGGATAAACAACAGATTTTGTGTCTTTCCACTGACTTTGAAAATATATTCTCTCTGAACTCTCAGTAAGTTGGAGCCCAGCTATCCTGAGATTTGGTTCCTTAAGTATGATCTCATTCTGTTAGCCATCATCCAGAGCTCTTGTCCACAGACCAAACAGGTCCTAGGCACAACCCTGGCAGTCTCAGGGGAAAGTGTTCCATCATCAAGTGGGTCATTTTAGTTTTCATCTGTATTGTATTAATCTGATAAACATTTGGACTTTTGGAATGAAAAGCATTGTGTGGAATTTTTTTTTAGATAAACATTGGCCTACTGCTCAACTTTCCAGAAGAGAAATCAAATTTAGCTGCACCGTGGTGAGTAACATGTTGTGGCACACGGTCCTGTTCACCCGATGGAAGACTTCCACAGTTTGTTTGATGCTGACCTGGATAAAGTTCCTGATCAACACTGAGGCTTCTCCTCCAGCCTCTCTCTTTCTCTCCCCCCCACACTCCTCCTCTCGGTTCCTCTTTTGATAGTAGGCCTGAGGTCTGGTGAGGTGTGATAACATTGTCCTGTTTTTGTAGACTTGGCATTGTCATGTTTCCACTGGGCAAGATGCCTCACATCAGTTTAGAGTGTTTCCCCTCATTCAGGAAAGTGGTGTGTCCTTCATCTGAAGCCCAGCAACACATTTTTTTCAGTCACTGTGTTTACATGCACACACGACAATCGGGTTATTGGGAGAAATCGGGTTGTGGGAGGAAATCTGAGACTGATATGCACTGAATAACCAGGTTACTGTAAAGCGTTTAAATGCAGTGGCAGTAATCAGATTTCTCCTCTGCTATATTCTTGCAACAAGGCAGCAACATTATAAGTGTGTTGTTGATATACCTAATAATGCAGGCTCAAAAATAATCTTGTCCTGTACAGGAAAAATATAATTTTAGTCAGTTTCTTTGACAAAACAACTTCCTTCAGTTAAGCAAAAATGGCGAAATGATGCCATCTGCCTGGCTTTTTTTATGAAAGTCGAGCCACTTTCACACAAAGCCAGGGTGATGACATCATTTCCGGTCACCATCTTTGTTTATATTAGATGAATGGGCATAGTTAAGAAACTTTAAAAAAGGCATATTTTTAGTTTTATTCTGCATCATTAGAAGAGTCTATGAGGATTTGGGAAATGCCTTCAGAATTTGGGTGAGTGTTATGAAATGACGGTACAGGATTAAAATGGCCTCTGTTTGACAAAAGATTATCTCTGTGACTTGAGTAACACTCAAGCTGGGTCAACCTTTGCCCTAAACTAATCAGTAGTGTATGATGGATCCATTTACTAAGTTTTAATTAGTTTTCATAGTGCAGTTATTTTCTGAAAATGTTCTTTATTCTTTATTATTACTGACTTTCAAAATGTACAGACGTTCCTGTTCAAAGAAGACATTTTACAGTGGGTACGGAGGGTATTCAAACCCCCTTAAATTTTTCACTCTTTGTTATATTGCAGTTTTATGCTAAAATCATTTAAGTTCATTTTTTTTCC